GGCCGCGTTCACGATCGTCGAGGAAGCGGCTGGAGCGTGTTTTCAGTGCTTGAGGCAACGAATCAAGGATTATGATGAGCGGTGAACAGTCTCAGGGATTCGCTGATGGTTCGGAAGAGCACAAGCGCGATGACATGGAAGATCTGCAGCATGCTCGCCCTGCTCCGGCTATCTGACGCCAGAAGCGTCGCTACCGAAGCCTTGCGAACGGCTGACTTCATTAAGGCGGTGCAGGTGGTGATGTGTTCACGCCAACGTCGACAACGTTCAAGACGGGCTCCACCTGTGCAATTCCTGCGTTCATGTGTCCGGTCAAGAACCCCACTGTGGGCGGCGATCTAGCAGCGTCGCAGCATGCGCAGGAGGAGCGGTGAACTGCGGTGAACTGCCGGCGGCCGTGGGCGTGACGTCTAGCGCGCGCCATGGCATCAACACGAATGGCACGATTAGCACGATGGACACGATGTTGGCCCGCTGGTGTTTATGCGACGATGTTGTGCGCGCACGTGAGGGGCGGTGCTGCTGTGTTGTCTTCGTGTTCGCGAGCCACGTTGTGTTTTGCTACGAGGAGGCGCCGCCCTGCCATGTCATAGGCGTGGCAGATTGCATCACGGGACCAGGGCTGCGATGATGCGCATGAGGCGGTGAGGAGAGGCCGAACTGGATGGGTGTTTTGAATGAGGTTGGATATAGCAGGCCCTTGGGCCAGTGGGAGCCGACATGCAGGTGCATTAGCCATGAACCATCCCCGTGCGCTGGCCAGCGCTAGGGCAAAGGGCCTTTCCTCGGCGGCGCCCACGGCCTGCTGAGTGATTGAAGGATCAAAAGACTCCCCACAGACCAGACGAGCACACAATCTCACCGCGCCGACGGCATGCGAACTGCACTTCCGCAGCCCTGGTCGGTCTGGTTGAGTCTGCCTCTATCGCCTCTATCGCCTCAATCTGCCGCATCGGGGGGTGCTTTGTCTCTTGCAGCTGTCTTGCAGGTGCCACAGCCTCTGGGACACATGAATCTATAAGGCGCAGCACTCTATATTTACAGACGCGTGCATTGCATACATCGCATACAAGAGCGGTGAGGGACCCAGTTGGAGTTAGTTGGAGGTATTGGAGGCATTGGAGGAAATGACTTGTCTCGTTGACGCTGGCTGCTATGATGGGGTGCTGGCAGGCGCCCGCAGACAGCCGTCGAGTACCGACATCTGTATGCGATTAAGTGCAATCACCACGTCTTGGCTGACGAGCGCATGGTTTTGCATTAGTTGGATGAGGCAGCTCGACCCGGAGCAGGCCTTCCCTCGACGAAGATCATCAGAAATAACCGCCCACGCGCGAACGATGCCAGCGCACGGCGTGGGTAGATACTGTCCCACGCATCTCACATCGTTCGAGGCGTGGGGTGCGTGGGTGTTGCCGTTCGTCGCGGTTCGCCGTGTCCTGAGACATTCACTGTGGTTGACAACCACGGCCTTGGCATCGCTTAGGATACTCGATGCGGCCCTGCGCAACCCTCTCCAATGCTTTTGTTCGGCCCTACACCACTCGTAACCATCCCGCATACGGAGCGGGTCACCTGTCAACCGTACACCATCACCACCACCAACAGCGCAGAGTCCTTCTATATACATACATTACCCCTCTAGTGCACCTCGGCTCTGCCCCTCGCTCGCCATGTCACTCCAGAGCGCGGCAGACGTGCCGCTTCTCATTAGCTCTCCCAATTCGTCGTCTGAGCGCCGTATATCGCCGTCGTGGTCCATTGCGCAGCTCAAGGCCCGCCTGGAGCCCATCACCGGTGTGCCCGCCAGCAGTCAACAGCTGTCGCTGCGCGTGGGCTCTCAGGATGCCGTCGCCCTCACGGCCGCCGACGAGGAACAGACGCGTCTTGCTGCCTTCCCGCTGCAGCCGTATGCGGAGATAACCGTAAGTGCTTCTTCTGCTTTCTCATTGCACGCGCGCCGCAGCCCTGTCCTGGCTGTGTCGTCGCTGCCGTCCTCTCGCGAGCTGCCACATCTCTGCCCCCCCCCCGGCTCGCCTCTCTACTTCCTTGTATCTACTCTACACCCACGCCTAGCAGTTTCATGCGTCGCTCTGCTCGACTGCCCCATTCGTTGTCAGGTCCGACGTTGAGGCTGCGCGCTCCAGTCAGGTCATGCCTGCATATTCGCATGCCCCGCACTGCCCCTCTCTTCCCAATTGCTGCGCCTTGGCACGCGATCCGCGCGGAAGCCATCCTTCGTTTCATCTGAGTTACCAGATCGTCTGCAAGCGTTGGGCATGCCGGGACGCTGCTGGCACTCGGCATTCGATACCGACGACATTAACTTTCGCAATACCGGATAGCCTTTCGCTGCTGTCTTGCCATTTCTTTTTCGGCGCTTCGGCGCTACTCCAATGCCTTACATGGCCTCATGAATCACCCCTTGTACCGGCCACCTTGCTAGAGCAATCTCAACTGACATCCCCGAGCAAATGAATGCTCGCAAACATGCTCCCGAGCTGACAGCCACGTCTAGGTCGTCGACACTCGTCCGCCGGGTGCGAGGACGGACTTCACCGACCTGTCGTCCGTTGAGAAGTACGAAATGCCCGCTGCTGAGTACGAGCATCGGACCGACAGCGTGCTTGCATGGAAGAAGGCGCAAAAGCTGGGTCGTTTTGACCCCGATGCTCCCAGCATCGAGCAGCAAAAGATCCGCGCCTCAGAACGGGAGGTAGAGGAACGAGGTAAGCCGTATATCTCCCGCATGTTTCACCCACACCGTTGAGCCGTACGTTTGCGCGGCAGAGCGAACGCCGGAACCCGGACATCAACCATCGCATTGCAGCCTTGTAGTCATCCATGTCGTTCCAACGTGCAAACCGGAGATGCTTCAAACTCTTCCCAAACCGGACTGCTGCATACCTCCAAGGTTGCCGCCTCATCATAACAGGATTCACTATGTCTCAGCCTGTCATTACCCTCCGACAAGGACATCTGAGCGACAGGCAAGGCAATCTCGCATACCGAGTATCCTCTGATCAAACCGGTCATACACGACTACCCTTTCCGGCCCCCTGCATCCAACCCTTGGCCCAGACCTCCACAGCCGAGCGTATGGCGCTGGAGGCACATCCGTTAGGCAACATGCCATAGTAAACGCCATAGTAAACCGATTAACACTCGGAAATCGCTTCGATGTTGCCGTCCTCCAACGACTGTCGTCGCTCCGCTAGGTTACCCGTTTCTGGCAGGGACCGGGCAGCGGCAAAGGGTGCAAGTCGCCGAAACCCTAAACTCAATTCTCAAAATAAGCGATCGACGCCTTCCTTGCCACCCAGCCTCATTATTCTCCCCATCCTCCAGCTTCATTCGTCAACCAAGTCTCTCGGTAATACACTTCGACTACGACATGGTCCATTTCCTGAAATCTCCCTCTTCCTGCTCGCCCGAGCAAGATCGTCAGGGTGGTTTAGGGCACCAGATCCTCGGATGGCGCGGCCCGCATTTTTCCTTGCTTTCCAAAACACATCAGCACGTTACGCATCGTTTACTCCGCTGAATGCCATTATCCCCGAAGGATGTGTTGGAGATTTGTGTTGATGGATCCAACGCCGCACCACGCCTCGATATTCGCGCATCACTGCCTCGCTATAGCATTGCATTGGGCAGCGCCTGCATCTGTCTCGAACAATCAGGCCGCCTTCCCCGCTTGAGCCTCGCTGTCGCCACCACATCTCGAGTAAGATGTGATCGGTGTGCATGAGCGACCGATTAGGCGTGCAATGATCTTGGGTTTCCGCGCATACGCGATGCTAGTTGCCAAACTGCCCGCCCGGCCGTCGGGACGTTGTTGTCCACTTACCTGTTCCGTTCCGCCTGGGCATATGTTTGCTTCTTTACTCGCTTTCGCGTATACCTCCTGTCTACGCCCAAACCATGGACGGATACGAGGGTTCGATAGGTTGGGCTCCACTGAACAGCGAACGGAGCTGATCTCGTACGATCATCCTGGCTGCATTCATACTTACACTTTGGTCTCCTTTACCGCATGTATACTTGCGAAGCGAATCGATTCAACTAACGCAAAACCCTTATTAGGTCTTTCTGTAAACGGTCGTGTTCGCCTCCTACCCGAGTCAGATGCGCGTCGGGGAACCATCTCCTATATTGGCCTTGTCCCTGAGATACCGGGTATAGGTGTCTGGATCGGCGTCACCCTCGACGAACCGACAGGCAAGAACGATGGCAGCGTCAAGGGCAAGCGATACTTTGATTGCGGCAGCAATTACGGCGTCTTTGTGCGACCTGAACGCTGCGAGGCCGGCGATTTCCCCGCCCTCGACATGGGGGATGAGGATCTGGAGGAGCTGTGATCGGAACTCCGAATAGGGGGATGACAGGACAAGTATATCGGATAACCACGGTAATCGAGAGGGGGGATCAGGGTAAGCGGCCACGTGGCAGCCTGGGTGGTGGAATGGAATTGACTTCAACCTACACATGTAGGTTCAAGCTGATTCCGCCTCCGAATACCATGACCAGACCGGCCTTGTACCGTAATCGTCTACACCCGTCACAGAGACTGCTTGTTATCATCATCTCTCCCCCGAAAACACCAACTAGATAGTCAAAAGCTAGCAAAAATGAAATCTGTTATCACGACTACAACAAGCTCGTTGTTTGTTACTTTAATAAATATAGCTAAGGCTAGAGTACACAATTCGCTCAACCTTTTACAAACTAAGTCGCATCACAAAGGCTACAGTCTACACAGCAGTGTTTCAATCACAAGTTGAAGTACAAAAACGTATGTTGGAGTATACACTGCCTCGACTACACACCCCAATATACCTATTCCACCGCCGGCTCACGCGGCAACGCCAACCCCAAAAGCAGACACAACCTCTCTCTACACCACTCAGCCTTCCACCCCCCCTCAAAATCCGGCACGCGCATCTCGTCCTCCCACCCCCCCGCCTCCTGAACCCGCTCAAGCATCTCCTCCAAAGCAATCTTCAACACCCCCTCCAACCTTCCCAGCATCTCCGCTGTCAGCCTACCCGAGAGATCTGTGCCCGTATGAGCTCTGACAGCTTCAACAAGAGAAGCCACCATAGTAGTTGTTGTGGGGAGGTGCCTGCTGAAACTGGCATGGTCCCAATTGGGAAGCGGCTTGTCGTCCCGCTTCGCTTGCTCGACCGCTTGTGTGACTGCGGTGCGGTATGTAGATGATAGGTTCCAGATTTTATGAAAGATTGTTTGGAGGAGGGCTGTTGTCTCCAAGGGGGTGGTTTGGAGGGGAAGGAGGGAGTTGCGGTAGAGGTAGGATAGTGGGATGTCTTCAAGTCCATCTCCACCTTCCTCTCCTTCCCATTCTTCTTCCTCTTCAAATGGAAATTCATCGTCATCTTCCTCATCCTCATCCTCACCTTCCTCAACATCCCACACCCCTCCCCCCGCAAAATAATACTCCACATCCCCATCATCCTCATCTTCCTCCCCAAAAGTCTCAAACTCCCTATCCCCCTCATACTCCACCTCCCCTTCCCCGTCATCCAAAACAAAGAGTTCGCGTCTACACAACGGGCAGGTATTTGTCCCCTTGGCGCTCAACCACGCAACGATGCAGGGTTCGCAGAAGATGTGGTTGCAGCTTGTGGTGTTGGAGAAGGTGACTGCGGGGTGGCCGGTGGTGGTGTTGTAGTCTTCTTTGCAGATTGCGCAGTCGGTTTCGGTGTCGGAGGAGGGAGAGGGGGTGGTGGGTGTGATGTTGTGGGCGAGGAAGTGCAAGCGTGTGGGGAGGGACATTGTGATGGAGGTGAAGAGGGTTTCTCTTGGTGGGTGGGTGAGTTTTGGTGGGGTGGATCGTGATGGGGTAGGTGGAAGTCTTGAAGAGTTGGTTTGGACTAGAGGTGAAAGTCGTGAAGAGTTGGTTTGGACTAGGAAGATGATTTAGGGAGGAGATGTGTTTTATACTCACAATGCTTGAAATCACTGCATTTTGCGACTGCTCCCACCCGTGGATAATACTTCGTATAATACTATGGTGCTTGCAACACCTCTGGTTGCAATGGCCTCGTACCACGGATCTCGTAGCGCGGAGCCTTCTCATGTCCACTCACAACGCGTCTTACTAACGACCTACTCATCTCTGAAGATCCACTTCCCTCCTCTCCTATGTGCGTCCAACCAGCGCTCTTGCACAATCGCCTTCTCTTGTTCCTTTGCACGTTCCCTGTCTTCCTGCTGTTCCTGTGTCGTCGGAAAGTCCACTCGCCAGAACCCTGGCGGTGTTCTTCGTCGCTCGTAGGCCTCGCGATGCTTCCCGGACTCTTTCGCCATCTTCTTCGTCCGAGCTTGCAAAACAAGCTCTTGCCGCTCTTCGGATGACATCTGCGTGAGCTGCATGTTGCTGTAGGCATCGCCTAGATAGTCCTCGAGCAAAGCCTCCTCTTCCGACGGACTGAGAGGTCCTTGTGCCTCCGCAAAAGCTCGAAAAGTGGAGCCACAGCATTGCGGGTTAGTGCAGCCTGGAAGACACATGCGATCTCCTCGCTTGCGCACAGTCTCGGAGAATGCGTAGCTGAAGCCTTGGTTGTATTCAGGGTTTGGCTTGAAGTCCTTGACGCTCAACTCGCCCACCGGCTTGTCTCGGAGACGTCCTTGATCTTTCAACGGAGATGCACGACTTTTGCGAGCACTAGAACGGGTCTCGGGAGCTCTCATGGTCCATATAGGGCCGTCAGGCGTCGGGTCGTCGCGAGGGCTCGCGCGAGCCTTTGACTTTGAGCTGCGCGCACCCTTACTAATGGAACGTGTCTCGGTAGTACGTGAGGAGCTTGCGGGTGGGGTTGGGTTTTGCTCGGTTTTGATCTTTACCGATCCTGACTTTGGGGTCTTCGGTGATGCCTTTCCTGGCGTTTGAGGCGTCTTCAATGATTGTAATCTTTGGTTCATCTGCGCTCGAGCAAGGTGGGGCGGCAGCCTCGGCTTACGTTTATTCGCAGGTAGTGCTTCGCCTGACTCTGCGAGGAAAGTATGTTTGTCTTGTTGATACTCTTGGAATTGCCGTGAACGTTTCATAGGAGGCTCTTCAGACGCACTGCTCACCACGTTGGGATCGAGGGATCTCAACACAGCGTCTCCTGCTTGCGTGGGTTCATTCGGCTCACTAAAAGCTCGCGCTTCGATGCTCGCGAATGCTTGCGGCTCAAGCATCTGATCATACATGTCATGCAGATCAGTATCATCCAGGTTTTCGTTCTTAACGGCCTGCGTAAGTGGCGCGCTGTTACGCCGATGCTGACGAGGTGTTTCCACAGGATCCGTGTCATGAAATATACGTGTCCGGGATTGACGAGGAGTCTTGATCCCATGGGGCGCCGGATCGTCCAGATCCATCGTCTCGTTCCGAGTCATGTTGAAGGCAGGGAGCGGAGGACTACTGTGAGGTTCTTCTTTCACGCGATGGGGCTTTATTGGCGTGCCATCTGAGGAGTGATCTGCGTATATCTCGAATCTGGACTTTGACGGCTGGCCTCGTTTTCGTTTGAGCGACCTCTCGGAGACGAACTCCGGGAAATCGTCATCATCTTCAGCTTCCGTCGCTTGTTCGAATATGCTCCTCGGCTCGACCTGCTCATCTACTGTTGTTTGACTGGAGCTTGGAATCGCTGAACGATGGCCTTCGTCCTCTGAGATTATCCGCTGCACGTGCGAAGAGACACCTCCGTTGTGTTCTTGATGCTGCTGTAGTTGCATGTTCCCTGATAGAGTGCTGGCCTTTGGAGTGACAGTTGTGGTGGGGCTCCGGGCTTCCTCGCCGCTGACTGTAGTCGGAGACGCCAACCGACTCGTCAACCCTAGAACTGAACGCGGAAGCGGGGCTATAGGAGCAGGAGAGGAGCGGTCCGGATTAGCGATGGATCCGGGAGTTCGCACGGTGGCCAATGAAACTGGACTGGAAGGTAGATGAGGCCGTTCCTCGGGAAGAAGGTGAGCCGTCGCCATATGTGACTTGTCGGCCCCGTCTCTGGCCTCGCTCTTCGACTTTTGTTTCACTGCTTGCCGATCTGCGTACTCTTGCCATGCGCGCACGCTCTCTTTCATGTCCTTGTTCTTCTGCATGACGTTCGCATTCTTCTTCTGGAGATACTTCACTTGTTGAGACATGTCCCGATACTTCTTGGTCAAGTCGCCAAATCGGGCAGCAAGATCATGATACTCTTCTTCGGTAGCCTCGTTTGCAACTCCGTGATCTGGTAATGGTGCAGCGGCCTCTTGTAAAGCCGCGAGTCGTTGCTTCAACTGCTCATTCTCGGTAGCGAGGTGGCGATAATCCTCGGACGCACTTGGTGCATCAAGTTCAGAGACATGCTGATCGACTGGCCCCCTAGTTTCGAGCTGTTCTTTCAGGTGCTCGTTCTCCTTGGCAAGACGCGCTGATTTCAGAATCTCGTCATTCAGATGTTGGAACAGTATTTGTTGGTTCTCCTCCTCTGCAGCATGTCAGTATGTAACTCAATGAATCAGACAAAACGCGTACTTTGATCTAGCTCCTTTTGGTGTTTCTCTTCTCCTGATTCATTCTTAGCAAAGTTCGACGCGTTAACTAACCATACGTACTCGTCTTCCATTCCTTCTCGAGGTCAGGCTTGATGACCTCATCGTATACGCGCGTCCAGAGCCCTTTGTTCTGCTCTACCCAGGCTGAAAACTCCGCCATATTGGACCAGCCCGACAAGGCATGAAAACGACAGGTGTGACAAGAGATGACTTGATGTTCGCGTGTGACCTGAACTGGTTGCAGCATTAGGCGGCAACTACGAAAGATGCGCGCTAGTGGGGCGCGCAGTCACGCGTGCGCACAGACACTCTGCGATAGCGATAAGACATGGTGCCATTCCGACATCCCGAGGCGCATTCGCCGCCGACACGACAGCCATAGCCGGGTATTATGAAGCGCGCATACGATGGCGATGATGACGGCGAGCATCCAGCCAAAGCACAGCGGCTTTTACATCCCGACAAACTCTCTCGATTGAGCGAGGAGCTGCTTGTGCGGATACTGTCTTTCGTGCCCGTACCCTCGCTCTTAGTATGCCAAAGGTACGTAACGTCATCTTCGCTACATCGCGACATTCGCTGACTGTTACAGGGTGTCAAAGAAGTTCAGTCGCCTTTCGATCGATTCGGAATTATGGAAAGCCGCCTACTACCGCACATTCGTCCTTCCTCGAGCGTCGCGCATACCAGGCATCAGAGGCCCTGCCAACCCGAACCGGCTACACTACTCCTCGCGGCTATCGAAATGGCTAGAAGACGGCTACTTAGTCAAAGATGGAACACAGACGAACTGGAAGCAGCAATATCGGTTACGGCATAACTGGACCCAGGGACAATGCGCCGTCAGCGAGATTGTGGTCGCTGAAAGGCCTCCAGACCCACCGCTGCTCGTCATCATGTCTAACAGCATCATCTATGCTGCCGACTCCATGTCAGGCCTGCGGGCGTGGAACTCGAAGAATGAAAGGGAGCTACTGGCATCCACGGAACTATCTGGTGAAACAGATATGGCTCGGTTACCGATATCCATGGCCATAGATGCCTCGAATACGGATGATGGCACGGAGCGAGTTGTCATAGGCTTTGAGGACGGCTCGTTCTCCATTTACGCGCTTAGGACGAATCGTAAGAAGTTCACGAATGTCTTCACCCATCCGCCATCGACGAACGGAATGCTGTCGGCTCTCGCTTACTCATCGCCCTATCTCCTCACGATGACCGAAGACCACCTCCTCTCGTTATACGCTTTCGAAGAGGTACCTGGCACGTTCGGGCTGTTGGAGGCACCGAAGCTGCTATACTCCCTACGATCGAACACTGCATGGCCACCTGTCTCGTTATCGCTGCGCACAACAGCACACACCATGACCGCCGCGATCGCATACTCCCTGCCGACGTACTTATCTGGTTGGACTGTTGGTGTGCAGGAGCTCATACTGTCACACAAAGGCGATCTAATCGAGTCACGGTTGGCTACTGCGGCGGATGAACACTCATTTACGCTCTCTACGTACCGCGCGGCCTCTTCATCAGCACGCTCGTCGTCGCCTTTGCCAGATCGCGCCGATGAAGCCCTAGCGCCGAGCGGGCCGAGCAGATCGAAACCTACCTCCATGTCGTACTCCCACCCGTATCTTCTCGTGGCGCATCCCGACAACACACTATCGCTCTACCTCGTCCGATCGACATCACAAGCACTATCGATCAGCTCCGGCAACCGCCTCTGGGGTCACACGTCTTCGATATCCGGCGCCCATGTCGGCATGCGTGGCAAGGCTGTGTCCGTGAGCAGACGAGGGGACGAGTTACGGGTATGGGATCTAGAGGGCGGCATGAACTCCTCCGCGAACCGCAAGCGCTCACGAAACGGGCAGTTGAGCGTTCGCGTACAGCCATCCAAAGCCAGTGAAGAGTACACTCAGGACGACGACTCGGGGCAGCAGGTGGGCTTACGGTTTGCGCTTGACCAGGGCTTTGATGATTCTTCCGTTAGTCGTGGTTGGGTTGGCTTCGACGAACAGAACGTTATAGTGCTGAGAGAGAAGAGCGAGGGCAGTCAGGCGTTAGTTGTCTACGATTTTACATGACCTGTGGAAGACTCCGAGGCGTCCGCATCTGTTAACATATATACCCCCATAGAACACTGCCGATTTATACGGACGTCGAACTTTCAGTATCTACCGGAGCTCGAAACTGACGATACTTTCTCAATTGCTAATAGCTGTCATCAGTTCACTCCTACACTTCTAAGGGGTCATATGCTTTATCTGCCGTATCCACAAGACATCTCACAACACCCCGGGCTCTCGTGACTAAGAGATTGCCATGCGTGGTCACTCACGTCGTACATCATGTATAAGACGCAGACCTGCGCTTATTAGCCAAGCACAAGCCAACCCCCCATTCGCCAACTTGACAAAAGATCAGATATGGATATAAGCAACACAGCTTTCCCGACGCAGCAACCAACCGACAACGCCGAACTCAAGGCACCTCCTGCAACTCCAAGCGATGGTCTGCTGCCAGCTCCGCCCGATGGGCTCGCACACGATAATTACAACCCTCTCGCAAACAACTTCACAAACTCTTCCTCAGAGCGAACGTTCTACCGACGTGGCCTAGACGGACAATTGCATCGAAGCGGCGACCCGTCGAACAGTAACTATATGCTCGATGTAAGTGGTTGCGGCTTTGGACATCGGCCTGCCTCATGGGTGTTCACTGCGCGTGCAACCATGACTGTTGCTGTGGATGTTGACGCTGAAGATTTAAAGCGGGATACTCCTTTAATAATGGAGACAGGCCGCCGACATCTGCGGAGGCTGTTCGAAGCAAGAGCTTTGGAGGTGTTGCAGAAGTATATGGATGAGGAGAGGAATGGTTGAGGGGTTGGAAGGGCGTAAGGCGAGAGATCAGGATGTGATAGCTGTAGGTTTCTATCGATGTCTTGAGGGGTCGTCTATGTGGGATTTGCATTACAGTCGCATCAAAGGGTTGGGTGCTGCCCGGACGGTGGTTTCGCACACACGTGACGTCACCGCTTGCACTCCAATCAGTGCTGCCGACCACGCCTTTTCCGTTGCTGCCGACATCAGCTCGACACTCTCGGAACCACATTCAATGAACTGCCACGTGCGTAGCGACCTCGCACCTCACCTATTATCTCACTCACATCAGTTTGCCTCTCAAAATGTAGAAAAAATCTCTTCAACCGCATCTTCTCACGATCGCACAGTTCCAGCTAGTGAGGGGCATTGAAGAGGTAACACACGCACATCGATACGAGCTAGGAGATTAATATCAGTCAAAACACAAAACACAAAACCACCGGCGCGTCCCAAAGTCATGGCTCGGCCATGTACCATACCCTCACATCAATACCGACCAAGCGAATGCGGAACAGGAGTATCAGCTCCAGCCCTCGGCTGCTCAGGAGATTGGACTGGAATATCTGGAAGGACACCTATGCCTCCGCCATCCCACAACCCCCCCTGCATCATCTCGATGCCAAGAGCTTTCGCGCTGGTTCCATGATGGAAGGTGGTCTGCTCGGCGTCGGACATCGGGAGTGGTTGTTGAAGATAACCTCGCGCACGAGGATCAGTACGCCCCTCCTCCTTGCGCATCCGCTCCGCCCTCTCCCAACTACATCTCCCCAAGAACTGGTCATGATCCTCCAGTCTCCACATCTTCCTCTGTACCTCATCCGTAACCCTTGCCTTCAACGTCTCGTACTCGTCTTGCTCCAGCATCCAGCGTATTTCCTCAGCGAGGGGATGCGACTTATCCTGCACTTCTGTTAATATGAACCAGACTATTACATCCCCGAAAACGGTGTCGCGAAGACTACCGTGATACCCATCCCAGATCAGCTCAACATGCTCGTCCGTCATATACCAAGCTTCGTTGCCTATCCACTCGTCGATCATCACATCTTTGATCCTGTCGGCATCAGCGTGCAAACCAAATACACGGCATGCGCGGATGGTCTCGATACCAGCGGCCAGACTGGGTGGTACGCGCAGCTCACCTGTGGGCCGTACGCTAGCTGCTTTGCACGCGCGACGCATGTACCGCATTACTCTTGCGACTCCAGCTTTCTCGGCTTCTTCCACAGGTATCTTTAACAAGTCTGGGCGTCCGTCCCGGTCTGGTATGAAGCGATCGAGGACGGAGGCGCCACAGAAATGCCATAGCATGCGAAGCGGAACGTTGCGAACGTATATTTTCTTGGTGTCGGCATTCACGACGTCGACTGTGAAGCCGGACTTCAATGCGATGAGTGTTCTGTTGTCTGTATGCTGCATCGTGTCAAAGAGTCTTCCGGTGTGACCTTCGAGAGGTGCCAGCCTCTTCCAGTTTTTTTTTGAGTTTTCGTCGGATTACTGGAGATGGTTTCTCAGTTTCTGGAAGAGTGGTCTCGCCCATGTTCGCGGCGCTCATCTCTGTGGATACTGGCTTGATCTCGTCGTAATCTGGGCTGCCATGCAGTCATGCCGCATGAGCGCTCTCCGAAGCATCAGATCGATCTGTTGGCGGCTGGGATGTCGTATCGGCGTCGTCACGTCCCGCTGTGTTGTCGAGCGTGGGTTCTGTGCTGGGAGGACCGTTATTAGCCACGTGCAGGTCTAATGCCATGTTACAAACGGTTGCGACTTCTCGTAACATCTGTTCGAGCGCTCTATTGAGCGCCGGAACAGGATCCCATTCTTCGGTATGATCTTTCTGGGCTATTTCAGTGGGCGATAAAGCGATCGGGGGATTAGCTTCGATTGTTCGTTGATGGTGTCTTGGGTCAGGCACATCACCTCCAGGTGAAAGATCGACCGCCTCTTTGTCTCCGTCGCACAGTTCCTCGCCACTGCCACCGCGCAATTCCACCTCGGACTCCTTCTCGGTACCCTGTTCTTCTTCTGACTTGGGAGTGGTTCCATGCTCGTTGCACTGAGTTCCCACCGGATGCGCAGGCTCGCTCCCCAAGTGCTGGCTCATGTGCACGTGACTATCGAACTGCGTAGCATCGTCACACTCGACATCCTTGACCATACCCGGAGCAGCGTAGCTTGCACCTCCGGTATTACTTTCAATAGTCCTGTCCGAAGCCCCAAAGTAGTCGGTCGCGTCAACTTCAACGGCCGCAACAGAACAAAGTGGCAAGAAACCATGCGGTTCGTATGGCGCAGGGTTAGGAGAAAGGGTAGGATTATGCTTCTGCTTTGGCACCGAGAAATAATCCTTGACTGCTGTAGGTTTTCCATTACTCCGGTTCTCATGCATGTCCTCGGGTGTGGAGGTGTGCATGGCTATGAACCCATGCGAAGTCTTCGGTGTGCAAGCTTGCCATTCCGAGGGAGTAGAGGTAGTCTCGCGTTGGAAAACGGGGCGAGGGATCTGTAATCGAGGGTTATTAAGGGGTGCTTTCTTGGGAGGACCTGGAGTTTTTGACGAGTCTGACATGATTGCGTGGTAGGATGTAATTGTAGTGGTGGAGAAATTTGGCGGGAAGGGGTTCTGAGTCTTATTTATCGACAACTACTCAGGCATGAATGAGCGGGCAAATAAAGCATGTATGTCACCTTTTGCCAGCAATTCAGTAGTTGTGTGTATGTTGACTCGGGAATAGGTGTTGTGACGCATCTGCCACGACATGCGGATAGCGGATTTGGGTGTATACACTCGCGGTGTGTCTCTAGCTATGAGACATTCACCACTCATCGCTCACATGCCATCTCCATCTTGGGTCGCCACTTTATTTATGCGCGCCCTTCACTCCTAAAAGGTCGAGCTTGACTTCCATCGAGTCTCATTCACTACACTTGCAACTGCACAGCACAGTCCTACAACGCCAAAGCGCGGCTTCCATTAGCTTTTTCCAGACGCATGAGCCGCGTTTCATTGGCATTCAGCCATCTCAACCATGTGTGAAGCAGACCAGTCACCGCCAAAAGAGCAGCGAGTCATAGAACCCGAAGCACAGTCAAGAATGGGCGCGCTTTCTCCACAATCACCATTCATGGATCGCACAAAACACTTGGTTGACCTGATGACGGACAGAGAATTTATCACGCCGTATTCTGATGCCGTCGAGGCTAAAGACAACGACCGCACATCATTGAACGACATGGAAAAGTTTGAGACTAGTGGAGCTGCAGGTGCAGATATCGATGAAGGTGTATGGCACGAACGCGCACCCTGGGCTGCACCAACGCTACCCAGCCCGAATGCCCTCGCAGGCCTTGCCGGCCCACCTGACTTTCATCTGGAATCAACACCATCTCGGGAAGCAGCGAACAGCCCTTCCTCGCGAACGCATGCGGAATCAGTCCCGGTACCTCCGCGCCGTCTCGCTTCCCTCTTGAACAAGGCTATCAACTACTTCGGCACCTGCATTGGTAACTACTTCACATCCGCGCCCGGCGTGATCGAGTACTCCGGTGCGGATATCTTGCGAAACACTCAAATTGGTATTGAGGCGGAAGAAATCGTATTCCAGGATAAAGTTGCAGTGATCAAGATCCTAGCTATCGTCACCGATAGCTCTGGCGCAGGCAGAGAGAAAGATGAGAAATACGAGGCAGTAGAAAGGCGTGTGGAGTTACGAGCAAAGCCTAAGCGAGTGAAAGAGATTTTGCGAGGGGAGAGATATTACATTGCGGAAGATTTCTATAGGAAGGAAATTCGGCTCGCGTTTAAAGCTTTAGGAAAGTTGTGAGTGGCTCGGTGCGTATGGGTGGGTCGCGTGGTAACCATGGAATGAGAGCCAGGAATTTCATAATTATGGTCTTCTCTCGCTGTTGCACACTCAGACACCAAAATTCTTCCTATAACTACAAAGACTTCACCAAATTTAAACCGAACACGTTCAGCACCTCCAAAAGCATACAAAGACCGCGCACAGCACCGCATACACTACTACAAACCCTACGTAGTAGCTAGGTGTATTCGAACACCTCACCACACACGCCGCGCAAACTCTATGTACTCATCAAACTCCAAGATGCAGTCAGAAATCAGCTCCTCAACAACCTCCGATAGCCAGCAAACCACCTCAACCCAACCCCTCGAACAAGAAGCAAACAGCTTCCGCATGCTCGTCGCATACAAAACAATGGCCACGAGACCCCGAATCGAAAAATGGCTATCACATGTTCCCGAACAGACATGCCTCCCTCTAGGCGAATTCCCACACCGAAGACCTAATTCAAATTTCAATAAAATTCGGTCAATCCAGCAATTTGGGCCTGTTAATGGGAGGTACCTCCTTGAGTTTGAGGAGGAAGGGGGGTATTATGTTGAGACGGAATCGGTTGGGATGCCGAGGATGCAGTCGCATCCAGACAGGTCGGCGGTTAGTGAGGTATGGGAGGAGAGTCGGGGGGATGCGGGTGACGGTGGTTGGTAGCGCGCTTGAGGTGTGAGGGCGACGTTCTGGGGTAGAGCATTATGGTAAAACGTTAACCTAATAAAAAACTAAATACCTTAGAGCCTACGTTAACTTTAGGTCACCTACTTTGTAGGTTTCTGTCTTTATGTAGTCTGCAGACCTGTTTAGTTTTTTTCGTGTATGAGGTGGTATTAGTCGCTTAGGTTTGCGGATGCACTTAGACCATGTCCTCATTTCTTTCTCTCGTTCGTCTTCCGTTCGTCGCAGCGCGCGGTTTGCCAGGGTGCCGTTTGACGCCGTCAGAGGACCAACGGAAGCGCATCGTCGATATTTCTACTTCAATATACGCAATCGGAAGATGCTAATGAGCCACGGCTCTTTCTTCGACACTCTGGTTGAGTTCTCAAATTCTACGCATATACCGCTCACGTCATGCTCCAAAGCGACATGACTACTCACGGCTACGTCGCACACTATTATATCGACGAACTCGACAATTTCAATCTCGAAGAGCAGTATCGCCTGCTGGACGACTTGCCAGATGGTCGCTTCGTCGCGCCGCAAGTTAAGCGACGCATGTTCTACAAAGGCGAAACCGCATCGCAAGCTCTGGAGCACGTGCGCCGGTTCATACCTTTGCCGTTCAGCCCCAATTCGTTGTCGCCTAGTTTGTACGATGCGCCAAGCTTGATCGATGAGGAGCGGTGGCACGAGGCTCGAGCGAAGTTGAGGAGAGAGGGTGCGTCATACAAATCCCGAAGGAAAAAAGCTGAGAACCTGACGAGAATCTAGGGGCTATTCTACCTTGTGACTACATGTTCGGCGATGAAAGCAGGATGGTGGAGTCGTTTGGTAGCAACGAGACGATCCGGCCAGCTGGTGTCGTCGCACGGCGTTGGGATCCGGCTGAGTCGATAGCGGAGGATCCGCCTCTATTGATAGCGGACCAGAGTCGGATTACTGATCAGAGCGATGGTGTTATAGTGTGGCAGTTGCTCATTGACTTTGGGAGGGCTGTGCGGAAGATCTTGGCTAAGTTGTTGACGTCCCAATGCGCGTGTTGAAAGGATGTTGGTGATCCTGTAAGCTTCTCTCTTGATCCATTGGATTGGTCGGAACTCTAGTGTCGTCAGGCCACCATGGTCTTGTCTAGTGCGAGGCTGTACACCTACTGCATTGCTCTACCGTATTGCGACGTGGGTCCCGGTGCAAGCGATGAGGTGGCGTATTACCCGCGAACGCATGTAGTGCTCTGCATGGGGCGGCACACCGACATGTCAGGCTCGACTGATACAAGCCCAGGCCCCAGCCTCATATAAAAGCGCGGTCTCTTCTTCGGCAATGGATACACAGGTGTAGAGGCATTGTAGGTGATGGATGCTACGCGGCATCGTCGCTACTTCCTGCGCTGAGCCAGGACCCCGCTTTCTCTTGGCATTCCGGGGCACTACACCACGCCATTAACCATGGCTTCCATCATAACTCCGACCAGCAAGAGTGACATAGCGACCTCCCGGCTTGATTCCACTTCACTCGCTGTCACAAATCGCCAGTCTGAAAACGATGCTTGGCCAAATACCCTTCGCGCCACAACGAGAGCGGCGCGCCGCCGTGGAAAGCTCGATGGACCTTTTCAACTTCGCTTTCTGACCGCGACAGACCCTACTCATTTCAAAGATGGTGAGACAAGACGAAGCGTCCGTTCGCAGGCGATGAGGTACCATAGGAATAAACTAAATCTCAGCAACGCAGCACCTCGGGAACAGCCCGAAACAGTACTATCTCTTTACACTGAACCAATAGTCGCCGAGCAGGCCAAGCTTACGACGACACAAGCTCAACTGCTTCCCCCAGAAAGAACATCAAGAGCGCTTCTTCCTCATGAACATGATCAGCAAACTCATATTCATGTATCTACTACAAGGTCCCCAAAGGAAGCGAGCGGTGCTGAGGCTCATGATGCTGCGTTTGAACGCCGTCGGTCAACTCGCTCAGGCCAAAGGCAGGGTGGAAGCCTTCAAAAGGTTGTTGAATACGAGTACACTGAGAGCCAAGAAGAACGCAAGATTCGTTTACTCGCGACCACTTTCTCTCGGATCGGAGACGGGTTTGACCCTTTTAAGGTGCTGCCCCAATTCGAGAACCCTAGTTTGGACAGCGGTTTCATCTTGCGTACATGTAGGTAAAAGTTACTCTCCAAACTTTGCGCGTCGTATGCGCGGTTCAAGGGCTGACATATACAGTCATGCGGGTGTTCGGAACAGAAGCATTTGTCAAGGCATGGGCACCTGAAATGATGGTTCACCCCCATGTATTGCTCAGTGGCATGTCCGTGACATGTACTTGGCTCGATATGCTCGCAAAAATTCCAGGCGAAAGTACAAGGACTAGGCTTGTCAGGGATGAGACCCTGGTCATGCTCAGGCTTCGACATCAGTCGTTCAACCGGAAACACGCCGTGTCAACCCTCCTAGTGATGCTACACTTAATGGGAGGCGAGATATGGAGCTGTGACGAGCCCACGGTGCGGTGTCACGAAAGAGGCATCGAACAGATGATACACCTGTGCGGTGACCTGGACAAGACCGGTAGGGCGATAATCGCGCGATTTGCCACTTCGTAAGCTTCATGACCTCCTGATAAAGAGGGCAGACTAATAATGCTCCCAGGTGTTGTCTCCACTGCGACCTACTTTACGAAGCCCAACCCCTGCCGACCTTTGCGTTGTGGGAGCCTGCAAAGTATGAATCGGTCAACGACAACGCAGATGTCGCGATACCAGAATCCCCGTTGTTCTGCCCAGGGCCTGACTTCCGGAACCTTCTCAACGAAGAGCGTTGCTCATCTACCACATGTGGCCTCCTTCGAGATATGCGCGACTTGATCGACCTACTCCTGGCACAAAGCATAGCACTTAAGCCCGCTAGCGATGCTACAGGCGTTCATGTAGCCTGTCCGCCCTCCAATGACGTCTATCGTAAGACAAGAGTGGCTGGAATTTGCGATCGATTAGCAAAACTACCTTCGGCTTACACTCCAGATCATCCAAACTCCTGCGATTGGGACTATGAGGCGTGTCGTCTCACTGCCACGATCTACACGACTTCCATCGTACGCCGCTTGCCTTTCTCTGTTGCTGCAATGTCAAGTCGCTACCCATTTTGTGTCCAAACTGGAGCTCTGAACGAGCCACATGGCAGCCAGATCTCACTCACAACCCATATCTGCGAAGAGTTGTTGCAGACTCTAGAACGTACCGACCTCGCAAACGTGTGGAATGGTATGGTTGGGGTGCTATATTGGGTATGTACCGTTGGCGCTGCTGCAGCTCGTTCGCCCCGCTTGTCCGGCCTGTCACAGCGACTCCCGTATAGCACGACGTGCAAGTTCCGGATTCGACAGTGTCTGACTATGTTTTCCGTCCGCGCACATATCATCTTGATCTTCAACCATCCCATACCCATTCTGCTATCTCAGAAGAAACTCCTCAGGGTACAAGAGCTTATTGGAACATATCGCCAAGGTCGCAACACTAAGCAGTCACCTGGAACCTCTCTGGATTCCATAGGCCTCTAATGCTACGACATCTTCACCTACTGAGGCTCGAATGCAAGCCGAGCAATTCATCCATCTCTTGTGATGCGCGTTCAAAGCAAAGCGACCCAAGATAGAGTCAGAAGCCGGCTGCTGACAAAAGATGATTGCGCTTTCGTAAAAACCGAAAGCCGTATGAATCAGAGGAGAAGCGCACTTGTCCACGCCGCCAACCCCGGTTACTTCTTTTCACCGTTCAGTCAGTCACTGCATATTCGGCTTTGAACGGACTGTGCAGGAAGTTCTTAGTGCGTGATGTGCGGTTGGCCGAATACTCTGGCGTTCCTACTCCGCGCGCATCACGAGAGGCCGAGCTGAAGTTCCCGGGCGTCTCGGGTCGCGACCATCCGCAAGATCCGGTCGCGATGTGTTCTGCAGTTCCAGAACAGACGATCGCAGTTGCGGACAAAAAATCTGTTCCTTGCACTGAATTTTATTGGTGGTGTTCGGAGATCTTCGCTGCCAACCGATGTGGGCCGACGGAGCATTTCGCACCCTGGATCTGAGGGGTTGCAACTCACCTGCTAAGCTTCGCGGCTCCCATCTTATCCCGACCTCTTATGACGTCGCAACTATGCATGTCTCCTATTCCATCAGGCACGGTTGTTTACATCGCATTGACACCTGGGAAACGGTAATTCGCTTTGGCGATTTCGGCGCTTCTCCAACCCAAACCTCGTGGGGATGCCATCATAGAGGGCCCGTGCGTCGAGCCTCTTTTCGTCCCTTCCTTGTCCGACGCTCCGCTGGCCACGATGATCCTGTAGGGCAGAAACAGTTGCAACCGTGGAGCCAAACTCTGATTTGATGTGTGGGGTCGCGTGGATATCAGGATCTGCGTCGTTGGAAATCATGTTCTGATCTCACAGGTCTGGCTGCCGGACTGTTTGAGACAGCAGTCAGAAGCGCACGTTGTTTTGGATATGCAAACATCCAGACGTGGCTATTGCAGGCATTACTGAAGCTTACAGTACCCGCGATACACGTGCTCGCTCTTTGACTTGACGGTCAGCGTGCTGTCTTTGCAGAAAGAGGACTGCTTCGATGACTATCTGACAAATGAAGCGAACCACGGGACAGCACGATTCGCGCTGACGAATGATGGATGACTCCTGGCCGCCTGGCACTGTCTTTACGAAGGAAGCGGCTGCCAGCATGTCCGAGACAGCGACCCAGGGATTAGTGGCAGCTTCCCTGCATTCCGATTGGGCGACAAGGTTACCTCCTGTCAGACCTGCCAGGGTCTAACGGCCTACTAACAACAAGCGACATTTTGTATAAGAGACAACACCCGCCAAATCTAGAATGCACACGAAAGAAATAGTCGCAGCGAGCGTCGTACTTGGACTCTGCTTTGTCGCTGCCATGGCACTCGTTACACGCTTCCTCCTGCACAAGCAGCCCAAGACTACAACAACAGACGTAATGTTCACTACGGACGGCAAAACTGAACGGCAGGTTCAGCTCACGCATATTTCCAGCTCGTGGAAGAGATTCTTAACCCCAAAGCAATCCTCTAGCAAAGGACATTGGGTGCCAACATTATCGGGCATCATCAAGGCTGGCGATGAGGGGCTGTTTTCCTCCGCACTGTTTACCAACCTTCAAGGACATCCCGGACAGGTACCACTCGAAACCTTGTACGATGCGTTCGCGAACGAAGTTCGAAACAGACCAATCTCAGAGCGATCGTCATACCCCGGAGACATGACGAAGTTCCTTGCTCGAGCAAAGAAGCCTGCGAGCGGCGTGGGGCGGTCGAAGTCGATGTCCAATGTTCGGCGAGCGGACCCGAGCCCAAAGACTGCGAGGAAGAGCTTAGATTTATCGGTGGTTGAGATGGGTTTGGCTAGGGGCTTATCCGTGAAGAAGCCGGCGTCTACCTTGGTATCGATGCACAATGGACTGCGAGACGACGACCCGAAAGCTATACAGCGGGCTTGGGTGAAAGATGGTCAAACTGCAAAGTATGAGGATGGAAGGTTGAGCGTCAAGGTCTCAGCTGCCGAACTTGCGGCACTCTCAGTAATACTGGGAAGCCAGTTAATCAACGGCGCTGACCAACAAGACGCGT